TCCCCCCCCCCCCCCCCCCCCCCGATGAACCTCAACCTCTTCACCTGGTCGCCCCTGTGTAGTCCCATTCCACCTACACCCTCCACAACCAGTCTCTCCTTTGCACCCAGATTGCCTCACATTAAGCCCCTCCACACTTGGGTTCTTCTGGGCTGAGCCTGCCTGCCCCTGTCTGGATTGAGCTAGGGCATGTATGCAAGACTATGTCCCTCTTGTTAGCTATCTTAGTGTGACTGGTGGGGCAAGGCATTAGGGTGCTTCTGGGGCACGTCTGGCTATTGGGATGTGTGCAGCTCACTTTTGAGTTCCTGTCCAGAGGAGTCCTGCAGGATGATCGTCCACCTCTGTGCATCCAGTGGCGCATGCTCCTTGCCATGCTGAAGCCTTCCATTTCTTCATTGATAAAATATACAGAATTTTGCAATATTGTATGCAGACTTTTTATTTTTTTGGCACAGAGATCCTCAAGAATAGAACTTATTCCTTTTAATGAGACACTACTGTAACTACCAGATTTTTTTCATAATGAGCTAAAATAGTCATTTTCATAATTGAGTAAGTCAAACATATTTTTTTTGTTACTAGAACCAGTTCTTTGCTCAGGTGTTTGTTTGGGGGAGGGGAGGAGGTTAATCCTTGTTTTAACTTGACATTTTTTTAAATTTTTCTTCAAAGGAGGAAACTCGAAAGAAACCGAAGATGACCATAGTAGAATCAGCTCAGCCTGGTAGTGAACCTCTGTGTACCGTTGATGTGTGACCAGAAAACTTAATGAGTGGGGAGCAATAACAAATGGAAAAAATACATTTTCAACAAATATTTAAGAATCTGTTTGCTGCAGAATGCAAGATAACTTTAGAATCCCAGCTGCTTCAGTTATGCATTGTTCTTTTGCATCGTCAGGGCAATATTACTTTTTTTTACCTCCTGAAATATGTATGTTTAAAAGATCATAAAGATCTCTACTTGGGCAAATGCACAGAAGATAGGCATGTTCACACAGGATAAATCTAAGCAAGCACTTTTTCCTTGAAAGTCATCCATGTTGTCTTGAATGGATGTGTTTAAGGAACAAATTCAGAAAATCTATGTACAGGTTGAAGCTCATATATTATATATAATTTTTTATATATACACACTCTTGTATGAACATGCCTAAAATTATTTTTGTGAAAAGTTTTGTTGCATTTCAGCACATAATAATATGCACTGATAAGACACTTTGACAAATACATGAAAAAGTGATGAGCAATTTTCCTGATGCCATAGGATTAGGCCAGTAATGCTGTTTTTATTTTTTGTACTGCCAGGCTAAGTTGGTTTTATTTTTTTTTATTTTTTAACTTGAAAAGAACAAGTATACCTGGTAGTGTTAAGAACAACAAGTTGGATATCCCAAATTGTTGGGCTTTATTTTAAAGGAAAAGTTGTGATTGTTTACAAACTAATTGGAAGGGAGAATATTTGGCCCACTATTTCAGTGTTTCCCAACCAGTATGGTGTGAGGCCTGAAGTGCATGGAATTTTCTGGTGTGCTGCAGAATTTTTTGAAAAATTATATGCGAGAACAAGGAATGGAAAGCTACTTTCTGATTGGCAGCCTGCCTCACTCCTGGAGAGAAGCAACCAGTCAGAGTTCAGTCGTCTCCTTCCCTCCCCTTTCCTTTCTGTCCTGCACCTGCTTGGCTGGGGGCAGTGTGAAGGGTCCCTGGAGCTCAAGATGTACTGTGGCAGGAAAAAAGGTTGGGAGCCACTACAGTTTGATATAAATTGTTGCCACTTAGGAGACTATCTTCCCAAGTGCTTGAAGGAGAAATATAACTTTAGACAGTTGATGGGTATTTTGAAAATATTTTGCCAGTGCATTGTTTATGGAAGCTCCACCCTTATTCCCTGTAATATAGTAATTTTAATTTGTTTTGTGTCAGGCCACATTTTATTTGTTTAGTTAAATCTTAGATAACTTGTTTAAAGAAGATTTTGCAAAATAATTTCTCCTATGGCCTGGACTTTGGAATGCTAAATTAACTGTTTGCAGCTATCTTTTTTTTTTAATTGTTACTGGCTTTTTACTTAAGTTTTTTAGCATTCGAAGAATAACTTCTGCAATAGAAATTAGAACATAGATTTGGGATACAACATAGGAAAAAAGCTAGAATAAGACCTTAATAAAGAGTACTGATGAAGATGAAAAAGAACCTGAATATGCAAACATTTTTGAAATGCAATCTTAGAAAACTGGCAGTACTTAACTGTATCTGCTGAGGCTTTAATTGGTTATGTACAGAAGAAATATTTTGGTGCTTGTAGTGAAAGCACTGCTTTCCCCCTTTATTTAAGGTTTGTACTTTATTGGCTATTGCAATAATTTTTTCAAATTAGAATGGGAAATTATTTTGTGCTTAAAAGAACTGGTGTGGGGGAAGGTTAGCAAGAAATCAGTTTGGTGATAGGAGTCCAGTGACTTATCCAAGAGTTGGTATTAGTACTGCTATAGAAGGACAGAGGGATACAGTTCTTAATCCTTTATAAATGCTGCAGGTCTGGTACTTGTCTGGATAGTTGTTGTCTGTCTTGAAATCTGAGTATCGTACACTCCAGTATGACTGATTTGTGCACCTTTTCATGTCAGATCTGCTATTTTGGACATTGGAAAACTTTTTTTATCCCAAGCTAAGATTCTGTAATTTGAGTTCTTATTCTAGATCAGTCTCATCTTCTGTTCCTGTATTTGCATTATGTTATAAGTGATACGCTCAGAGGTCTTAGGGTTAGGTTTGTTTACATAACTTACCCAATCTTCATCGTCATATTTAGTTTTCAGTTCTGTGAATTGTAATCCTCTTTTCAGTACAAGATAAGGATAGGTGAAGGATGATGCCTAAACCATTGTTTTAAAGTGACCTATCTTAAAAAGTACTGCCTCTCCTTATTTTCTTTTAGTACAGTTTTAACCCTCTTTTTGAAAGATGTGTAACATTGGCACAGTACTTACAAGCAGTAGTGGTTGCTTCCCTCTGATTTTGATGAAGGCAGGTCTTATATCTTCATTGCTTAAATATATTATTGTGTTAAGTAGGTGTTATTTCTGTTTGTGTTTTCTAGCAGAAAAATCTGTCCTTGTACAGTACTGTAAAAGACAAATCACCCCGTGGATCTTTGTCCAAAATCAGAATGTCAATATTTTGCAGGCCACCTGCAGATTATCCATAGATGCCTCATTATAGGAATTTGCTTTTATTGTGTTCTAAGAGGATTGCTGTATTCAGCATTTTGCTTTAGTCTTACCTCAGTCTGCCACTATCTGAATTGTAAGGTGACCATTGCCCTTAAATAAAACATCTAGATATTTCATTGTGAACCAAAGCCTCATACATATGCATTCTAAAAAAGGATGGTATTAGACCTTGCTGCAGCCTTTAACTGGAGAGTTGTCCAGAAAATAAAGCGCAATAACTGCTGGAAAAAAAACAACTTAACTGCTGTTTATTGTCATTGTGAAGTATTCTTGTGTTTTAATGTTTACTATTGTTTGGAGTGTAACAGTCTTGCATTTGCACATAAGCACGAGCTGCTGTGATAGAGGATAGGTCATTGCATTAATTTCAGCTTCTGCATGGACACTAAGGTGTGATTCAAGATGTATCCTAAATTTGTCTTGTAACTCTTGTGTGTTTTTTAGGAAATCAGCTGTAAAGGTTTAGATCTTGATTGTATGAATACAAAAAGCAAAACTACTGCTTTTGTCACTTTGTTTCTTATCCTCCCCCTTATCCTAGGAAAGGTGGGTATTTTTATTGGGGATGCAGTGTATTAATAAGAACTGTTCCATCCTTGAGGACTTAGACCTATATTGCTTTGCATATTATGTGCTTCTTGACAGAAGTGTGGTGTATTGACTTTAAGGCTTAAATTAGCGTGCATTCAAATCTTTATGGTACTGAATGAAAAATGACTCTGACTTCCAGTGAAATAGTCAGATGCTACCTATTTAAACACAAGTCATTCAGCTTTAAATATTTATTAAACAAGAGATAAAGTAGTTGGGTTCTCTCAGATGCTTAAAATGGCTTTTATGCAAAAAGAAATACTCCTCTTGGTGTTGTATGTAAACACCCACTTTTCTATAACACTGTTAGACTTTACATACAATGCACACTTGTAACATCTGTGTATTCTTTCTTTAAAAGCTTGATTACATCCTACACATGCACTATATTTTGGTTCTGGGGCAAAGTTCACAAAAGTAATTGCCTTGTCAAACTTCCTGTAGGAAGAATTTTAGATTAAATATCAAAGTGCAAGAATTAATGCCATTCTCAACAAAATAAAAAGTGAACAGTATTCTGATGTATATTTGAGAAGAGAATAATGAATGCATTCTTATGTGCCCAAGTAGATAACAATGGTTGCTGTATGAATTGTATTGAGTGCAGTTGCTTGATGCCAGTGCTAAATTGGTACCACTGAGCCTCTGCTTTGCTTTTCTTTTCTCTACACAATCATATAAGGCTTTGTGTTTTGGTCTTTGAATACTACATGTGTATTTTTTCAGACAATTAGTTTTAAGCAATAAAGTTTGATATTACATTATAAAAATGTTTATTTTTTGGATTACAATTATCTGTTTTGAGTGGGAACTCTGAGCTGTCTTCCACCTGGTCTTTTGAAAAAAACTGTCTAGGTTTGCTATGCAAATATCAGTACATCTTACCATTTTTCTTAGCAGGTGTAACTTGTTGAGTTAAATTTGCATAGTCAAACTAGTCTCTCTTTATAAAAACAAAAATGCTTTAGCTAAGCACATTATGGTCCAGTGCTTTTTCATGTAAATTCTGTTATAGGTATGTGTGCCCCACACACTGTTGTGAAGAGATTTTTGTCTTAGCAGTATCCATAGGATCAGCAGTAGTGCCCTCTGATCATGGTATGCCCATATCTTGAATACTGTGTAAAGATTAGGGATGTTAAGGACTAGTCAGTTATCTGATAAGTAAATGCTTATCAGATAGAGAATGACTAGTTTGAACTTCCCTCCCCTCCCCCCATCAGATAGAGGCGGGAAAGGGGGTACTTCAAAGCGTCAGTGCTGCACAGATGATCCTGCGCTGTTCAAAGGGGCAGCGGCACACAGCTGATCCCCGGCTCAGCTGTGCAGCACTATCCCTTTGAAACACTGCCTGGGCTCCACGCAGCATTGGCTATTGTTGGCAGACAGGGAAACTGCTAGATGGACCATTGGTCTGACCCAGGATGGCTGTTCTTATGAGTGTCATGTTCCTGGATTAGCATGTTAGGTGCTGCTGGCCATATATATCCTCTCCCTTCACTTTTGTCACTTGTGACGGTTGGAGCATCTTCCCGTAGCATTGCAAGTGGACAGCAGTTTAACACTCCTTAGCTTTGGCCTACCATCTACGTTTCAAGTCCACAAAATGAAAGTTTTTTATAAGTACAGCAGTGTTTCTCAAACTGTGGTCTGTGGTCACCTTCCAGGTGATCCACGGCTTGAGCTCAGCCCCTTTTTCTTTGCCTCACAGTGGGGAGCCTGCACTTGTGCTCCAGCCTCTCCCTCCACCATGAGGATGGAGCAACAGCCGCAGAGCCTCCCTGCACATTCTGGCTTGTAAGGAAGAAGCACACTCTCTCCCTCACCTGGGGGAAACTGCAGTGCATGGGTGCAGTGTCAGAAGGGTTTCCCCACTGCTCTCATTGGCCCAAATTCAGCCAGTGGGATACTGTGCCTGGAGCAACATGGTGCATGAAGGTAAGTTCCTCTACCCCTTCATGCCCAGACCTTGCACTCCCGGCCACCTCTCTCTCACCCCTGGCAAGACCCTGCACCCCAGCCCACTCCTGCATCCTCTTCCCCCACCTGTTCCTGCTTCTCCCCCCAGGCAGATATCCTACCCCCAGCTCTCTTGCAACTTCCCCCGGTGGCCAAACATCCTACCTCCATCTTGCTCCTGCACCCTCCCTCCTGGCCAAACACTGCACATTCTCTTGCTCTTGTCCCTTCCCCCGCCCCATTCACTCCCAGCCTGCTCCCACACCCTACCTTCCATCCAGACCTCACACTATCACACTCTCCTACACCCCACTTACAGCCCAGATCCTGGACCCCCTCACTCTTGCTGGCAACCCCAAAGTCTGGGGGGGGGTCCACAAAATCCACTAATCCTGGGACCCCAGAAGAGCAAATCTGGCCTATGGGAAGCCCTGAACTTCAGTCCCTCTGTCTTCCACGCTCCCAGGTTGGGCTGGACATCAGTGTGGTTTGGTGGTTTTTTGTGTTGAATATATATTAATATTTTAAAACAAAGTTTGATAAACTAAAATGAAAAAGTTAAAGTGCTTAAACTGTTTAATTTAAATATTTCCTTTCTTGCTGGTTAAATTAAGCCATCCAACTGCAGCACTAAAAATATGGGTGTAATTATGTAATTAATAGCATGTTTCCATTACTAACTGGTGGTCTGCAGAAAGATTTGCTTTGAGCCAGGTAGGCCATGGGATAAAAAGTTTGAGAACCACTGGTCTACAGTGATTTTATTCACACTTTGTCTCTCCTCGGGATCTGAATTGTGACTCACCAGTCTCCCCTTTTGAGTCTTTGGCTTCCGTTTGTAAGGTTTCTTTCTAGGGGACAGTAACATTTGCCCATAGAGGTTGTGAGATTGACATCCACCTCACAGTCACCTGCTACAGTGTTCTAAAAGGATAAGGTGGAACTGTATATCTCTTTCCTACCCGAGGTAGTTTCATACAAACCTGGATATATATTTAGATGTCTTCTTCCAATTTAAAATATTTTGGAATGAGGAGCACAAATTGCAGTCTCAGAATATTCAAAGTTCTAGACTTTTACATCAAAAGAACCAACTTATGCCATAAGTTAACACAGTTGTTCATTACAGTAAGAGACAGGCTAAAAGATCTTCCAGTGTCTGCCCAGAGAATTTCATCAGGGATCACTAACTGTGTTGGTTTCTGCTATGATCTGGCAAGGTGCCTCCGCCATCAGTTGTAACTGCCCACTTGACCAGGGTGCAAGCCTTGGTGATGACTTTCCTGGCTCAAGTGCCTTTTCTAAATATCTGCTGAACAGCCACCTGACTGTCCATCCATGCCCATCTCGTTATGCATTTATCCAGCAAGCTGTGACACTTACACTGCAGGTGTAAGAGAGCAGTAGACCAGAATTGCAAGATGCACAACTAAATTCTGAGACTACTTCCAGGGATGCAGCTTGCATCATTGAGAATGGTATTGATCTTTTGTAACTGTTAAGAGATGTTACTCATGTCCATTCCATTACCTGCCCTCCTGTTGGAGTTGCTGAAAAGGAAGTGAGAGGGTATAGGGCAGAGGTGAGGAATCAAAGGCCTGGGGACTGGATATGGCCCTCAGCTTGTCTGGCTCTGGCCCACAAGGTTTCGGGCTTCTTCCCAGTTTTAAGGAGCCCTTAGTGCTCCAGCCCTTCCACCATTCCCTGTGGGGCTGAAGCGCACACAATCTAATAGCCCAGGTTCCCCTAGGCTCCGGTGTGAGGGCAAATTGGGGAGTGTCTTTCCTTCTCAGTTGGGACCCATATCAGTGATGGTTTGGGGTGTTCTTTTGGCTTCTCAATTGTATGCGCCCCCCAAATGATTTTTCTGTGGCCCTCAACCTAAAAAAGATTTCTTCATCCCTGGTGTAGGGCCTGTTAATACAAGTGCACGATTGTGGAAATGTACACATACCTATATCAGAATGGATGTGAGCAACATCTCTCTGAGAACAGTTATGAAAAGTAGGTAACTGATTTTCTCAATCCCAAATCAGGGAAGGTTGTTTTTCTCCATTACTTTTAATGGAGAAGTTCCATATTAGCTAAAAACGTATCCTCTCCTTTTATATTCTACAAGAAGATTTACTGGACATTGTTTGGGTACTTTGGAACATAAGAACAGCCCTACTGGGTCAAACCAAAGGTCCATCTAGCCCAGTATCCTGTCTTCCAACAATAGCCAATGCCAGATGTCCCAGAGGGAGTATACAGAACAGGTAATCAAGTGATCACTCTCCTGTCCTCCATTTCCAGACCCTGAAAACTGGGCACCAGGGACATAACCTCTACCCATTCTGGCTAATAGGCATTGATGGACCTAACCTCCATGAATTTATCTAGTTCTTTTTTCAACTCTGTAAAAGTCCTGGTCTTCATAACATCCTTTGGCACGGAGTTACACAGGTGCTGTGCTGCTTGAAGAAAAATTTCCTTTTGTTTGTTTTAAATATGCTACCTATTCCATTTGGTAATTCCTAGTTCTTATGGGAACAAGGATATAACTTCCTTATTTACTAGCTTTATAGCTGTTACGATTTTTCTATCCCAGCCCCCT